TCGATCTGCCTGTTCTGCTCCCCACTCTGTCTCTGGTGAAGCCTTTCACCGCCGCTGAACTCTGGCCTGTACCCCAGTTCTGTATGTACAAATACATAAATCTAAAAAAAAAGGGGGGGGGGAGAAAATGAAGTCCTTCCCAGAAAAAAAGGTGAAGCAGATGTTCTAAACCTCCCCTATGAGAAATGCTGAATGAAGTTAAACATCTGAAGAGAAGAAAATTCACAAAGAAACTGAACAAGGAAGCAGAACTTGAAAACCAGACAAAATGGGAGCAGCCAATCCTCATGTATCAATAATCCTATTTAATGTAAATAGATTGAACTCACCAATCAAAAGGCATAGAATAGTTAGTTGGATCAGAAAACAAAACCGGACTTTCTGCTGTCTCCAAGAGACACTTTGGAACTCCAAAGACAAACAAAAGATCTAAGTAAATGGGACCTAAAAAAAGGCAGGGAATCCATACCTGTATCAGATAAAACAGACATGAAGATGAAAAAAAGTAGTAAGAGACAGAGATAGATATAATGATTACACACACACACATATCCTCAATAAAATCTTAGCAAATCAAATCCATACATTATTACCACATGGGGTTTATTCCTGGGATGCAAGAATGGTTCAAAAATCTGAAAGTCTAATAATGTAATTCATTATATCCACAAAAGGAAAGAACAATTATCATCATATCGATAAATGCAGAGAAAGCATTTGATGAGAAAGCATTTGATTCAAAATCATTTGTCAAAAGAAAACCCCAAAATGGGGATAGATGGAACATAGCTCAACATAATACAGGCCACATATGATAAACCCACAGCTAACATGATACATTCAGTGGCAAAAGCATATCCTCTAAGTTCTGGTACAAGACAAAAATGTCCACTGTTATCACAACTATTGAACATAGCAATGGAAGTACTTGCTAGGGCAATTAGGCATGAGAAAGAAATAAAAGGAATCCAAATAGGGAAAAACTACTATTATATACAAATAACATAATACACACAGAATACTGTAAGGATGCCAGTAAAAGGCTAAATAAATACCAAACCAGTAAAGTAACAAGTTACAACCTAACTTTCTAAAAATAAGCTGTGTTCCTACATGGAAACAGCAAGAAAGAAGAGGGGGAAAAAAGATCAATAAAGTAATCCCATTTATAATTACATCAGAAAGAAAAAAATACCTAGGAGTATACTTTATAAAGGATGTGAAGGAATTACACAATAAAAACTGTAAGGCACTGTGAAAATAAATATAAGACACAAAGAAATTGAAACATTATCTGCTCATGGATTGAAAGAATTAACATTGTTAAAATGGTCCTCTACCTAAAGCAATATACAAATTCACTGTAATTCCTATCAAAATTTCAAGGGCATTCTTCAAAGGAGTATAACAAAAACTATTGAATCACAAAATATAGAACCACAAAATATCCTGAAAAGCCAAAACACTCCTGACAAAAAAATATTGGTGGTATCCCTCACCCCAGTGAGAATGGCACATCTTAAAACAACAAATGTTGGCGAGGATGTGGAGAAAAAGGAACTCTCCTGCACTGCTAGTGGGAATGCAAACTAGTATAACCACTGTGGAAAACTGTTTGGAGGTTCCTCAAACTGCTAAACATGGAGCTTCCCTACGACCCAGCAATCCCACTCCTAGGTATCTGCCCAAAAGACACAAAAACACTGATTGAAAAAGATACCTGCACCCCCATGTTTATTGCTGCTTTATTTACAATTGGAAAAACATGGAAGCAGCCCAAATGCCCAAAAGTAGATGACTGGATAAAAAAGATGTGGTACATATATACAATGGAATATTACTCAGCGACCAAAAAAGAGAAACACATGTCTTTTGCAGCAACATGGATGGAGCTGGAAAAGATCATGCTTAGTGAGATAAGCCAGAAAAAGAAAGAAAAATACCGGATGGTTTCACTCATAGCAGGGGTATAATGGGCCAGGCGAGAAAATAACAAAAATAATGAACAACCATATACCAGAGACATTTTGTGGGTGTGGAGTGGGGAATGGGATCAAAAACGGGGGCGGGAGGGGATGCACGGGATTATGGTGATGGCACACAGGTGACTTGGTGATGGGAAACCCACGGGGATTACAATCGAGATGGGAAAAAAAATGTACAAAATGATGTAAAAATAAACTTTTGTAATAAATATTTAAAAAAATATTGGTATTACATGCTCATACT